CCCCCCCCCTTCCCCCCCCCCCCCCCCCCCCGACATTAAACAGTGCCTTTAGAGTCTTGTTTGTCCTTCACTGTGCTTCTCTTCAACCTCACAAGCAAAACAGTTGCTGGGTTATGATAACTGTAGAGGTACTGTACTTGTTGTCATCTTGGAAAGGAACAGAAAAAAACCGAAATAGTAACAAAACCTCACCTTGCTTTCACCTTTATTTTTCAGAAAACACCAAGGTTAGGATGATGACACTCTTGCAGCTACCGTTTTGGCACTGAGGGCTTCTTATGTGTGCTGCAGTCATCACCTGAAATTGTGCTTTACAGAGCTGCTGGCAAATCACCGCAGTTAGGATTGTGGTTAACCAGCAAAATAAATAGCCTATATTAATACACATTTTAAATGAAGTTATGAAAATCGGGAAGATGGGCTAATTAGCCTTAAAAAGAGAGGTCAGAACTGGAGATTAAAATGTCAATTTTATTTTAGATAAAATCATATTTGAAGGGCTTATGTTCCCTGTCTTTGCACAGGTCCTACAACTCCAAACCAGTGCTATTGTGCATTTTGTACAAGCTCTAAAAGGCTTTGTTCTCATCTCATTGTAATTTGAGCAAAATGGATGTCTTTTCAGTATACAGAGTTAGTACAAATGACAGATAATAATACAAACATTATGAAAATGTTTTCATAAATAGCTGCATGGTTCCCTTCCTGCACTCATACAAGTGTTTCCTTTAAAAGGAAAATAGGAGGAAGTAGAAATAACAGGCTTTAAATATCCCTATTAAAAATCTGGAAGAAAGCCACTTGAACTTGTTTAGCTGTTAAACAGCTTAACTTTTGCATCAGCTATGATTAGGCTATTACCAGGGGTTATCAGTGTTTATTAATAGTAATAATACTTAACACTGTTATCACTATCGGACTCCCCACCTGCTGTGTGTACAACAGCGGTTCACAAAAATCACAGAGGTTTGCTAGCGAGCAGGGCTCTCCACTACGAGGGGCTCTGGGGTTAGGGCTGAGCTTCAGCTGTGGGTGAGCAGCACGGAGCAGCGATGCCCCAGCTTGTCTTGTCACCCCCTCGGCTCCAGCCTCCCGCTGCGTCGGGGTGCGCAGGGAGCAGCCAGGTTGGTACAAAGCCTCCCCTCCCCGGTCACCGCCGCCAGTCAGTGCTGGTGCTTCTGCTGCATTTGTTAAAAAGCTTGAGTCCCAGCTGCTCCTCAGCAGTAACACTGCTGTAATTCTTTGCATTTGAGGCGGTCAGTCTTTTCCTTTGCTTTCAGCTTGGTTAGGGGAAAGCAGAAGTAATGTCTGTGTTTTTGTACGTGCTGGCGTGCACGTTGGCTCCCCACGTTGCCCGTTCTGCCATTTGATAGCTTAGGGGCAGCACTACGGTCATTGCTTTCTGGGTAGGAAAGAATAAAAGACAGTTAGTTTCTTCCAAGCAGGCAAATAAATTACATACAAGTGTTTGTGCTACAGTGAGAAATCGGGGCTTTTCCAGCTTTTCTTAGAGAAGTGGTTTGTATATCGGGGGGTGGTTACACAATCTGTATCACTGTTTTGTTCTCCAACAACTGATTGAGCCAATAAGAAAGAAAATTTGCTGAAAGGAATGAGTTCATAGAAAGCTTTTATTATTTTATACCTTTGCTTTTTTTCCCCTCTGTATTCTGAAGAGCATTTTAAGAAATACTTCAATAAACTTCTTTCACTGAATTGAATATGATACTGCAGTACAGATCAGGCACGGAGGTTTCCCTAGCTGCACCTACCTGATCACCTCTTGCTTTCAAAGGCAAAGACTTCATCCCATGGCGATGGTCTGTTATGGTTACTGCCTTGCGCTGAAGATACGGAAATTCCCTTGACTCATGGCAGTTGCCTACACGCTGCATACATGTTGCCTGTTTAGTCTTCAGCAAATACCAAACACCATGTGTTCAGCATCTCTCCCTTAATTATTTAAAATGGATGTTTGCCAGGTTATAGCAGGACTTGATCATTTACTGATGAGGAGAGTTCCTTTTACCGGTTTATCTCCTAGATAGGTCCTGTGATCTGCCTAGACTTATATCTATCATTATATAACATTATAGACTATAATTGAGTTTCAACAACTCTGTCCAGTTATATCATACTTGAATTTGTAATGTTAGCCTCTTTTTTTAAAAAAAAAAAAAAAAAAAAAGGAAACTATTTATCAGTAAATTCACGTGAAGGTACTAGGTGTCAGTGGGCCAGTGTTCAAATAGCCCTTGGAGGGCACCGCTAGGTGGGAAGGTGACACGGGTGATTGTGCATGCATGCAGTATCATACTGAGGCTGTTGCAAAAGAGGGATTTTATTTCTCAAGTGAAATGTTTAGGTCTGTTGGGCTGACATCTTGTTTATGTCATGAAATCTGCTTTCAATGAAGAAACTTGACAACAAGGTTGGCAGCCAGGCATCTGTTGATGTATATTCCTGAGTATTTCATCCCAGTTCTGTGGAGAAAGGTCCCAGAGAGTGAACATAAACCTGAACACATAGCTGTTAAAAAAGAACTAATTATTTGATTTTCTGTTATTGAATTGCAGGTGTCCCAGGCTCCATGCCCAACGCAGCATGGGAAGGTGACCTGAAAGCAGTGAAGTGGATTGATATGGAAGAGAGCCATGGAGGTTGTCATGGTAATGTGTACATTTTTCTCCATTTCTTCTTCCTGTTCATATAGTGAAAAACACAGCCTCTAATCATAATATGAGACAGTCTTTAGACAGCACTTCATCAGAGAGAGAAGACATTAAAAAGGGGTCATCTCCTTCATAGTCCATATGTGAATGACAGTAGCCACATGAACAGTGAGAAAGCTGGAACAGTTCCTTCTTCATCAGGAATTTTATAGGCTATATCAGTGTTGGAAAGGGGGATAGTTGGCAGCGCTTAGGGCTCACATGAGTTAGCTATTTTCTTGAAGGCCTTGGGGGAATTTTCTTGCAGGTGGGTGGGAAATGTATGTCCCACACCGGGATGCAGATGTGCTAAGCCAGCAGCAGTGTGCAGGGCAGGTGTCCTGTGTGAACTTGGACAAATCCTGGCTCTCAGCTGGGCACCGATGCCTGCCAGAGCCACAGCTGATGACCAACCTAAGGAACTGCAGGCTGATGATGATGGTGGAGCTTTGAGTTTTCCTACGTCATGTTACTTCATGACATGACATTAGCAGTAGATAATCTTCTGTATGGCACACTTAATTTTTCAGTCACTGGTTTGTACATTGCGTACTTGTCCAAGTGGGACAAGAAAGGGAATATCAAAATGCTAATGATACAAATTTTATTTCAAGAATTTTTAATCCACAGCGTAGTTTTTTGTGTTGAGGAGAAAAAATCTGAGAACTTCAGTCACCTTCAATTACAGCAGTTTCACCTTGGCATAACTACATTGAAATCAGTGAAATTACAGCAATATCATCCAGAATTAGTTAGTGGAAAATCTAGTATGAGTAAAAGTATTGGTTTCTCTTCACTGACAGAGGAAATTCCCCTTTGCTGTGTTTCAGCCTTGTCTGAGAAAGAGTCTCAAGTAATAACACTTCCTTTTCTGAGCTTTCTCCTTATTTTGCGCATTATTTATTCTGAAGTAGCTTTGCTCGTTTCAACCCATTGTTCATACTTATTCCCATTGCATGTGCAGTAGGCCTTTCAGCATGTTTGCTGTGCAGCAGATTATTTGTAGTGGCTTTGCAGATAAAACTTCTCAAAAAGAATCACTTGGATCTTTGATTCTGACATCGCTTTTTTCCTTTTTCTTTTGGCAGGCCATTATGTCAGAGGCATTTGTGTATATGGAACAGGTGACCTCAAGTGGCTTTTTAACTCCACCTCTATGTTTGCAAATAAGTTTGAGCTTAAAACATATCCCCTGACTGTGGAGTGCCTGGAGCTGAGACATCGGCAGAGAACCTTGTTGCAGAGTGAGGTTCAGGTGGAACCCAGCTGGTATTTTTAGCTAGCAAAATCCCAGGCTACAGCATCAATAAAAACGGTCAATAGCAGCAGCAATCTTAATTTCTGCTGTGCCAGAAGCATGAACTCATGAGATGGGTTTCTTTAGGATGTTCTGTAGATGCAACTTGGGTCGGCTTGTCTTACGCTGCTTGCAAACCTCACCTTCCACTTAACACCTGGAGGCCAAAGCGCAAGAGATCCAAAAAGAGACACCAGGGTAAAGCTCCTTATGCAGCTGTAGGTGCTTTGCACTTTTGCCATTTTTAATGGGCTGTTTTCCAGCCCCAACTTTTGTCTTGCTACACTGTCATTGCTATCTTTTTCTATAAAAATATAAACTGAGTCATGCATTCCTGGCACTTCTCGTGTCTAAAAGACAAGTGTGCACATTTGGTAAGCAAAAAGGTAATGAGTCACAGTCAGCAAGATCTTAAAAGCAGGAACACAGCTGCTGGCTATACATACGGATACTGTTTTGTCAAAGATACTAATAGTTACTGCAGAGAACTGATGGAAAAGTACTGGAAATGGAATAAAGATGCTGCACTTCCCAGATCTTACCTGTTCTTTAAATATTTGTCGGGACAAGGTTTGTAAGAGAAAACAGCATCTTTTACGAGGTCAATGGGTATGGTTAGAAAAATCAGACAGGCTTTCAGGCACAGGAGCCCTTCTCCATGTCTGAAAAACAGGGACTTGCATATTTGTCTTACTTGCCCAACTAACAGAACTGGAAAAAAAATTAAAAAAAACATCTCTACATGCAGATTTTGGCCCACCAGTGTCCTTAGATCATCATGTGTAAGGACACAGAGGGAGAGATGGAAAGCAGGGAAGGAAGTAGCAAGATAAATGTGTTCAGGATTGAAAGAGCAGTAACTGAGCTTTGCCAATAACTCAGTAATTCTGTGTCACAGTTTGATATGGCATAAGCTTTCTTCCCAAGTTTAATTCCTTTTGTTTTAATATCATGGTTAAGGCACATACTTAACCTTGGGGTTCACTTCATTACAGCCCTATTTTTATTCCCCAATAACAGCCACTAGAGGGAGGCCATCAAATATCTGAGCAGATTTTCCTTTCCAAGTCTACATAACCCTTTAAAGCACACAAAATCTCAACAGACGAGGCATGCCACAGGGAAAAAAATCAGTGCTTGGGAATGTTTTAGTATGGCAAACAGAAGGTAAAAGTTACAGGTATTGGTCATTGTGTCCTAAAAACACAAAGCGAGGAAGCAAAAGTATGAATGCTTCTTCCGGTAGCTATGACGGTCGTATTTACGTGGCATTTTAGCAGCACTGTTGAGTGACCTAGTCACCAGCATGGAGGCAGTATAAATAGGGATGCCTGAATCTAAGGAGAGTGTGTGCTGCTCTCCTGTCTCTCTTCTGAACAAGTGATGATGGCTCAAAGAGTACCTCTTGAATAACAGCACTTTACCACCAACTTTATTAAAACATTGCTAATTTCAGGGTCTTTTAACAAACTGGATTGCAAACTGCAGCAGTTCAGAAACAACAACACATCATATTTAGATGTCCTGAAGCATGGCTGGTAAGCCTCAGGGAAGCTTCTGAACAGGCAGGATCTGCCTCAGTCAGCTTATTCTGCATTAATAGCTGCGAACACCTAATAATGCAGATCCCTGCAGAAAGGCACCAAGAATTTACCTCCAGAGCAGAACTTTGGTGAAAAACCTGTTCATTTTTGGGGGGAGGGGAGAAGAAGAGGGCTTTGCTAACTTGCTGCCATGGTGGCAGCTGAAGAGAAGTATTTCAGAGAGAGTCATCCTTTGAAAGAGGGAGTTTTAGGGTGGCCAACTTGAGAGCCCTGGAATCAGCCCCCCCTCCTTTGCTCTAACAAGCTGAATATCCCCCAAATTGAAACATCCCAAATAAAATAGAGGCATTCTCACCATTTTATGTGAATATTTAAAGTAGCCCAGAGTACAAACAAGATTATATTTCATTGTTCAGACTCCACAGGCAAATGGCAAAATATCACCCAATAGCAGAAGCAATAAGGTTGGCTGTTTGAAACTACGGACATAAAAGGGTGTTGTACTCTGAGCCTGAACAAATATAGATATTTTAAGACTGGATTATATTACTTGTTTAAGTAAGAACCCAGAAAAACATCACAGATTTCTCTCCAGCTGTGATTTAGTTGGGGTTTTTTTTTCTTGAATGCTACTCCAGGTTATGTTTTTCTGTAAGTAAATTAATATGTTTTCACTGTGTGACTGATTTTTGGGTGCAACACCTGCCTCATCAGTCTCTTTTTTTTTTTTTTAAAGAAAGAACATTACAGTTAATCACTGTAGAAGACAGAAAAGAACAATTTCTGGCAACCGAGCTTAAGAAATGCATCTAAACCAATGAGACTTAACAGTATTAGTGGTACTTTGGAATAGCAGTGAAAGACTGGAGGAGGGGGCTGGTAACAAGGATGTTAAGCAGGGTTAGACTTCTGTGCACAACAGTAACAACAGTGATTGGGTTCAGCAACTGTGGTACAACTCCATGGAGGAAGCTTGCACTCTGAGTAACCCGTATCTGTACCTCCTCATTTTCTACAATCAGGGCAAGGCAAAAAAAGGCAAACTCTCCCAGTGCTACTTGTAGCTGCCTTTCCGAATGAGTACAAAGAGAGGAGAAAAGTTTTCGGTTGTTCAGTCGCTCACTGAGACGCTGACTGGGACAGGGCACACAAAGGACATGCTCTCTCTAATGGGATTTCCAAGCAAGTGAGACTTTCCACTGAAGTCAGCTTGACTTGCTTAGACAACCCACTGGATGCCTTTCTGCTTATTGAGCTCCTAAAGACTTTTATACACCTTGCCCAAAAGGAGCCAAAAATCTCACTGTAAGGCAAGACATGTGCCACCGCTGCCTTTTGACTCTGAGGACAGTGAAACAAGGACAGGAACAGGCTGCGCAGAGAGGCCATGCAGTCGCCATCCTCAGAGGAGCTCAGGACCCCACTGGACAAAGCCCTGAATTCATGACAAGTACATCTGCACAGGCTGTCATTGCTTTGGGATTAGGATTCACGCTTATGAATGAAAATTATCAGTCCCCTTTCCTCAACCTTTGTGCAGTCCTAACATTAAGGATGTTTTTACATACTGTATCATGCTGTACCAGCACCTTCATGACCCTGCAAACTTCTGTGCCCGTTCTAGATACTGCAATGCTTTTCCTCCATTCCCTAGCATCTCAGATGTTCAATATATTAAAAATGAAAGGGAGAAGCAGCATGCATTCCTCTTTTGTCACTCCATATGTGAGGTAGGGAGCAGAGGGCATTTGGAGGAGCTAGCATTGCACCTTCTGTCAGTGGTAGGGAAGGGATGTCACCATTGCTTCACCCCTTGCTTGCTATCATCTTAGCGTAGGACAAATCTTGGACTCATCATCAGGGTTTAACTGGTCTATTAATGCAAGTAGGTAGTCGTGCAAGACGTGGAGTGCTCTGCAGCATAGCAGTTGGGCTTGCAATGGGACGTATGAGCTGACAGGGCTGGTGCTTGCCAAGTCTCAAACTAAGCCGAACTTTCTCCTACAGGGTTTCAAAGTATCTGTCGGATGTGGGAGTTGAGACTTTCTTCCTGAGCTTTTATCTTCCTAAGGCACGCTATTTCGTCAGGTCCAGCAGGCGCCGTCGGGTGCTCGTCTCCCACCCCATAGTACAGTTAATAGGAGAGCGGAGACGCCAGCTGGCTCCCAGGTCCGCAGGTCCGGCTGGGCTGGTGCAGTCCGCGCTCAGCGCGGGCCGACGAGCAGAGCTGCTGCAGACGGAGACCCCGTGGCCACGCGTTCCCCAGAGCCAGCCGACACCAGCTGTGGTTTCGGCCTCGCACAACGCCCACGGCCGCAGGCCTGCCGTTCCCCGCTGTGGATAACTTGCAGGTTTCCCTTGCAGGTGAGCACACCCAAGGACTTCCAAAAATCCCCCCCTGCCCCTAGGAAGACGCGTGTTCCTGCAACACCGGAGGTGTGCGCAGCAGCCGGAAAGTACACCAGCAGGTGTGGGAGCGGGTCCGAGAAAAGCAGGAGAGAGCGCTGGGCCTCCTCGCCTTCACTGCGGGGCTTCAGCCTGCTGCCGCGAACCAGGCACCGGGGACTCTCCTTCTGTGTTATTAATTGGCCACAGACCAAATGAATCTCCGGCGATTAAAGCACCGCAGGACCGGGATGCGCCTCAGCTTCCCTCGCCTGCCTCACGGCTTCCCTCGCCCGCCTCAGCCCGGGCCTCGGCCCCGTCCAGGCCTCGCCTCAGCCTCCGCGCTGCCGCCGACCGCGCAGGGCCTCGTCTGCCCGTCACCGCCGCCGGGCGGGACCTCCGGGGGAGGCGGTACCGCCGCGGGGAGGGCGGCCCAAGGTCGGAGCGGGGGGCGGCGGGCGAGGCCGGGCGCTGACCGCGGCCTCCGCTGCCCGCAGATGGAGTACGACTGGCTGGGCTTCGGCTACGCGGCGCTGGTGGCGGCGGGCGGCGTCGTCGGCTACGCCAAGGCAGGTGGGTGCCGGCGGCGAGCCCGGTCCTGCCCGCC